CCCCCCCCCCCCCCCAAAAAACAGCACTAAGGATTAGCTTTTATATACAGTAATAAAGCAGGTTTTGCTTCATTTACAAAGAAAAGAACAGCTTTGTTGGACACAAGTAGGCTGATGACCAGCACTCAGTATTATATGTGCATGAAAGTGCATTACAAATAAAGCCATTAACTGATTTATAAGAGTGTGTGCATGTGTGACTGTGTTTAATGTGCATCCAGGGTATGACAGATTGAAGGAGGTGGCTGTCGTGAGCAGATAAGGTAGGTCTATTTACACAGTAATCAAGTAAACAGGTTTGGCTCCACTTTTATTGAGCACTGATTAAGCTCTTCATGAAGCAAAATGAAGCCTACGACCAACATTGTTTAATTATATCTGACTCATCAAGGACATCAATGAGGCACTCAATGACTAGTATTCATCTTCAGCTCTCTGACCAGCACTCATTGGCTTCCTCAGTCGAATGAGAGGCATTAATAGGTTCATTTCAAAGGAAACGGAAGCTCTTTTATTATTCTCTTCTCCTACTTCAATAGCTGCCGAATGTAATTACTGAGTCGAAGCTAAAACGTCTAAAAAACTACTTTCATCATTTCATTTCAAATGTGCCATCACTCCACCAGCAACAGTAGTTATTTCTTTCAAAACGTCAATACAGAGTCTTTTGTGTCTTTCCTCTCTAGATTCACCCACGTTTCATTTTTATATGGAACCACAAATATCTTATCAACAGTACATTAAATGAGACTTAATTTTCATTTGACTCATAATTTATAGTGTAAAATCACAGAAATGAATGTGCTTGGATGCACAGCCAGTGAAACTATCTAGCCGTGAGGCTTCACAGGGAAGAAAACAGATGCTTTCCTAATCATACAGTCCAGCTATTCCCTCAAAACATAGAACTTTAACAAGCATCTCAAAAGCAAACAGGCCCTTGTGCTTTGAAATGTGTCATTTAACTGATATTCTTACGTCAGAATGACAGTAAATATCAACTTCTTCTGCACACCTTCATCTTTTCTCTCTAAAACATATCCGATGTGCATAACACAAACAAAAACACATCAAGAAAAAACTTCCCACACACCTTAGCACAATATCACAGACTGCACGCTGACAATACACCAAATGCCCACAGCAAAGCAATTACAGGCTGTACAAGTCATGTTTTAGAACAAAGAAACATCAACAGGTTTGTTTGTGCTTTGAATTACATGGAAATAACTGCAACAAAAGGTCTGTTGTAATAAGAGATTGACCTATAATTGGTTTGAACGATATATTAACCGATATCAAACCGATAGCAGTTCTTTTACATTGGGCATTATATGATCGTTCTCTAAATAAGGCCACCAACAATGGCATTTACAGGCTAAATTAACTTATTTAATACATTATTTTTGGATAAATAAGCTGCCATTTTAACAGCATCCATTCTCAAGTAAAAATCTGTAGCTTAATAATTAGCATTAGCGCAGAACAATAATGAAAGTAAAAATGTTTACAATTTATCGGACACTTACTAAATATAAAAATAATTGTTATTGGTCAAATAAATGTCAATCTCTGCTACACATAAATAACCCCATTCCACTACATAAATGTGTTACAGCCTCTTCGTTTCCATTATTACGTTATAAAAGCTTAACACAAACTATCAAAATAGACGACAACCCCATTTAAAGGGACATTTAAACATTTTGACAGGTCTCTCCTCGATCTTGTACTGACAAGAATGTGATGGTCTCAAGGAAACAGTGGTGTAAACATTACAACTTTGCAAACAATAGCACTGATTTGGCTTCAGTCTACAAACAGGTGCATACCCAGTAGTTCTTCGAACATGTCACGCAACACTCTAGTCCTCATGCATTGCTTCAGGCTGAATTCTGTTCCTGCATCTGTCGGACTGCCACATTGCAACTGAAGTCAACGCCAAAGCAGTGTGTGTGTGTGTGTGTGTGCTTGTTTCCAGAGAAAGCAAACAGCTCTTCACTTCGCGCATGCAATACAGCACTCATTACGCATCCGCTTACCTTTTTAAATGGCCACTATGAGAGCGGTCGTGAAAATCCGAATCAACTGAACGCCACAGAAAGAACTTTGATGTCTCGTGAGCGCATCCTGCGCCGCTCGCGCTGCTCCGCCATCTTCAGCCTGAATGAGCGAGAGCAGCTGACGGGCGCGCGGGGAGGTTCTTCAAAACAGCCCAAAGTTCTGAGCTCCTCCATCCATGCACTACACCCCTGTCATGGTGTGCTACCTACCAGCTGTTTTTACAGAATGACAAGGTGATTTTTAAATGAAACATTCTATCTGATGAATAATGTGTTTGGTGATACATTAAAAACAAATAAATAAATATTATTGTTATTATTGTTAACATATCGATATATATATATATATATATATATTTAACATAACGATTACTTGTATGTATAGCCTAATGTTATATATTATATAATGATTATATATTAAATGTATGTAGGCTAATCTTAAAAAAGATTTTTGTCCAATCAGATGCTGTCTATAATGAGCAATACCACCTGCAAACCAATCACCAAGTACAAAATCATGGTTCATAGCTGTGATAACTAAATCAAAATGTGCAAAATAAATTAAATACATTTTAAAAAAGTAAGTTACTTGATTTTTTTTTTTTAATCTGTAGAAAATGACCATATTAGGCTAAGCTAGCATCAGCTATTCATTGTTAGCGTAATTTTACTCATTTTTATGAGGGACATAGGCACAGTTTATTTAAAAAAAAAAACATACTATTATTAATAAATATATTTTTACATCAAGTTCTTTTGTGCAACAAACAAAAAAGAGAGTGAAGAAAAAATTATGGCTACATAACCCTTACAAAATGTACCCTGGTAGTTTTCTGCCAAAAACTAGTAAATTTTGGTGAGGTAAATTTGGATTACAGTAGGAACCAGACAAAAGTTAAAACTAATGGACTCATATTGCTTTATGGCAAAGATTATTTCATTTATTTTATCAATATATTTACTATGTGACATACAAAAAAATAATAATAATGACGTTATTTTTGCAGCACAAAACAGTTCAGTGGTATAATGTCTTATTATTATAATCCAATTCTAATTATAATCCATTTCAAATGTATCAAATAATTTTCAAAGATGTATTTCTAATATATATAAATAATAAAACCATGTGAAGCAATAGAATGCCACAAGAGGTCACTTTATTTTGGCACTTGTCACACATGAAAATATTCAAAGCTTTTTTTACAGAAAATCAAAGACTTGGTAATGACTGAGAACATCAACATACAAACAGATGCTTGCATGACATGCAACAGACATCAACCCTCTCCAGTGTGTCGGGGAGATGAGCTCCTTATCACGGCCCTTGATGAAGAGTCCCAAAGCTCTGATGCAGTGATTGGCCACTTTAAACAGTGTCTGAGAGGCCAGTGTAGTTTGCTTTTAGAATGGCTTTTGAAGATCTAAGCAGGCACCATCCAAAACACAGAAAGAAGTTAGTCTTTAGAGAGGAGGAGCACTCAGTACAGTCCAGTTTGCATTTAATACATCTCCAGAATGTACCTACAAGACATACTAAGCAAAAAAAAATAGTGCTTTGAGATCTAAACCAAACAGTTCTTTTTTTCTTGAGAATCCACTATGAATGTGTAGGCCTAATGGTTTTATAGCAATATAATGCTGTAGAAGTATGCAGGCCCATCGGAAGGCATGGTTCCACTTACATTAAGAACACACGAATAATATATGCCTGTTAACTAATTTAGCAGGCAATACCAGATTATTAGAAGAATTTGTAAGACAATATGCATTAATTATGAAGCAGGCTGAATATAATTTTTTAATGTTAAGGACTGGCTTTTATTTCAAATCTTGCAGTAAACTGAGTAAGTGTTTTAGGGAGCGATTCTTATTTGTGGCATCAATAGAGCAAACTTTTAGCCAATGAGATATACCTAAGTAATGTATAGAGTTTTTAAATGCCATAATACGTTCGCCCCAGCCATTTATATTTTACACAACTAGAAATAGTTCAAGTCCAAATGTGCAATCACTTTAATCAAACTGGATTTACAAATTTGAATGTATTTGAAGCACTTGGCTTTTACATTCTCTGCCATGCATCATCATCATCTGTGATGTCACTTCCTATTTATATTTGCCTATAGCCTTTCTTAATGACCAGTTTTAAAGAGCCCTTGTTACTTACATTTTTCTCTGCAGGTGAAATACAAAATGTACCATTATTTGCATGAATATCACTGAAATTCTGTTCTGAAATTTTGATGAAGAAACAGTCAGAAGGGGTTTAAAATATGAAACGGACTGAAGAATCTTTTCTAGGTAGTGCACAGAACAGAACTGAGTAAAAAAAAACACAATATCGCCACCCACTGGATGAAAACACGCAGTTTACAGAACAAAGTAAAGGAACAGTAAGAGATGCTACAAAATAAAATCTCATTAAGCTGACTGTCAACCAAAATATAGTCACTGTCCCAAACTTGTTCTTTCTATGCATTAGAAATGAGAAACTCCTCGATTTTACCCTTTGCACGGACAAAACCCATTATCAATTGTTATACTGCATTTACATAAAGACACACATTGTATTGTAAATCACCATGACAAATAAGAGAAAAGTCACATTAGGTTATTCACTATTATGAATTTAAAATGCCATTTATGCCCTAAAACGTCTACTAAGACTGAGACAAAACAAAACAACATACTGAGTCATTTATCTTTAAGAGCTGTGTGCATCAGTACTGATACAGTAAACCAATGCTTTAAATATCATGATTTACTGTACATGATTAAAAATCAAAACTTCTAACTGCATTAGATGTATGACACACATAGAAGACACATGGCTTTAAAGCTCACTTCGACTGTCGCTATCTAAAAAACCTACGTGATTCATTTTACTTGTCTAATCCACAACACTGAAAATGTTTCCTCGGAGATTGGAGGTGCAATTCAAGCCTTCTGTTAAATAAGGATAGTAGAGGAATCCATTCTGTTTTCTTCCGCCCCACAGAATAAGAAATAAACCTGCTTTTGCAGAGCTTATGCTACCATTCTCTACCATGCAGAAGGCCTGGGCAGCTGCATCGAATGGCTTTTAAATACGATACATACATTGACATGCACTGCAGCCTCTGGATGGCACGACAAACATTTTAAATGCACAGTAGAATCACACACTTTTAAAGAGCCAGTTCACCCGAAAATGTCTGCGAGTATGGAAAGATCCTAATCTCTAAATGCTAAAGACATAAAATTGAATTGTACAGATAGAATACAGAGGAATTAAGATCCAGGGTGTTGAAAGCTTATAGCAGGTGTCAAACACTCTCAGGATCTTGTTTTTCCTGTCATAGAGTCCTGAAGCGTGATGGGGAGGGTGGTTTTCAGAGAAAGTGGTTGGTGCTTCAGTGCTGGAGAGGGGCGGTGCTGTGCGTCACCTGTTCGATCCAGGGCAGGTAACGGCTGACCCGTGAATACACACCTGGGTACGAGGGGTCACCGCAGCCGTGACCCCAGGAAATGACCCCTGTCAGTACCCAGCGCCCAGCCTCGCCCTGACACACTAGCGGACCCCCGCTGTCGCCCTGGCAGCTGTCAGCATGCTTTCTGAGGTCAGACGTCATACTGCCAGCACACAGCATGTCGTGGCTAGTGAAACGCTCGCCATAACGCTTCTTACATTGCCACGAGGGCAGAAGAGGAACCCAGGCCTGAAGAAGAGTGCTGGGATGCTCAGTGTCTGAAAAATAAGGGGAAAACAAAAGGTGAAACACCCTTTGCAATCCATTTAAAGGGACAGCTGCTCAAAAATGATATTTCTGTCCCAATGTTGTTCCAAACCTATATGACTTTTCTGTGGAACACAAAAGAAGATATTTAGAAGAAAAAAACTGTCTATACAATGAAAGTTAATTTTCCTTTTTTGGGAAAGCTATCTCTTTAATTTTATAATAACTGATAAAAAGATAAAAAAATTCAACCATTTTTTCTTTAGAATAACATGGAATGAAGAAGAATGTTGAAAAGTTTGTAATCATAATTTTTTTGGTATGCTTTTGAAAGAAGTCTTTTATGCTTACCAAGGCTGCATAGATTTGATCATAAATACAGTAAAACAGTAATGTTGTGAAATAATACTATAATAATAAAAAAAGCTTATTATATATAATATATTGTAAAAGAATTGCAAAGATGTATTTTCAGCAGCCATTTACTCCAGTCTTTAGTGTCACATGATCATTCAGAAATCATTTTAATATTCAGATTTGGTGCTTAAGAAACGTTTCTTGATTCAGGATTCATTTTTTCCCAGGTTTCTTTGATGAATAGAAATTGAAATGTACAGCTTAAATTTGAAATAAAAATCTTTTGTAACATTTGATCAATTTAATGTGTCCTTGCTGGAAAAAAGTATTAACGTCTTTTTAAAAAATCTTACTTGGCCTAAACCGTCGAACAGTAGTTTATCACAGTTTCCACAAAAAATATTATGCAGCAACAACTATTTTTAAAAAGGACAATAATAAGAAATATTTCTTGAGCTCCAAATCAGCATATTAGAATGATTTCTGAAGGATCATGTGACACTGAAGACTGGCTGCTGAAAATTCAGCTTTGCCACCACAAAAATAACACAGTTCTTTTAAATTGCAATAATATTTCAAAATATCGCTGTTTTTACTGTATTTTTTATTTAATCAAATAAATGCAGCCTTGGAGAACATAAGAGACTTCTTCTAAAAAAAAACATTAAAAAATCTTAAAGATTCTGAATGGTATTTTATATAAATTAATATATGTGTATATATAACATTTTTTAAAAATGTATTTCATGTCATGCCAAAATTGTGCCCGTGTAAGAAGAACCCAGCAGTACCTGTCATTCCCCAGCCAGTGATGACACATGACGCAGGTCTCTTGCCCCACTTACTGCCAGGTGCAGGCAGACAGGCGGCGTTAGTATGAGGGTTAAAGGACACGCACTTCCCCTCGGAGCCCTTCAGTCGGATCAGAGCCACATCATGCTCCCAGCTCTCCGTTCGGTACTTCCTGTGCACTTCTATGCCCTCTGGAGAGAGGACACGTTCAAAATCATCCTGCTCCTTCATGTGATAATCCCCGAGCTTCACCACATACCGTGAAGCATCACTTCCAAACCTGTAGAATCAAGACATCCATTCATATTACAAACGATGCACTACCATTTCAATCATTCCCCTGCTAATCTCATTTTAATTAAGTGTTACTTTAGTGTTGATTTACAGGAGCTGTCTCATGTTAATTATTCCAAAACTGAGCATGACTGCTGCTTCATTACAGAGCAATGATTTGTACACATAAATACACAAACTAACGTTCAAAATTGTGGGGTTGATATGATTTTTTTATGTTTAAGTCTCTTGCACTCACTAAGGCTTTATTATATGATTTGATCAAAAATACAGAAATGAGTAATTTTGTCAAACATTAAACCAATTTCTATTTTAATATATTTTAAAATGTAATTCATCCCTATGATGAAATATTCAGCATCACTCCAGTCTTCCGTGTCAGTTGATCTTTCATAAATCATTCTAATATACTGATTTGGTGCTGAAGAAACATTTCTTATTATTAAACAGTTCTTACAGGACTTTTTAGAAATACAAAACTTTTTTTAACATTATAAATGTCTTTACTGACAATTTTGATCAATTGAATTTGCCTTTGATGAATAAAAGTATTCATTTCTTTCAAATAAATAAATAAATAAATTACTGACCTCAAACTTCTAAACATACAGCAATTAGTAGATAATTAAAGCTTCATAAAGTTTTACAATTTTAATTAAGAGTGAATGTATTTGTGCCAGATGACATCTGGAAGACATGTTCACAATTCACAGTGCTTCTAAATTGGCCACTTATTTTTGTGCTGTCTGTAATTTCAATTCAATCAAAATCAGTTCAAAAGGATTATGGAGTCGGATTCGGTAGTTGAGGAGCCTATAGGTGTAGCTACGGTGGCCGAGAGAGCTCAACGACCTGCAACTTAAGAAAACACATGCAAATTGAAAAAACACCAGCAAGTGAGGAGTTGCAGCGCGTTTCTTCATTTGCATGTGTTGTGAGGATTTGCAGCGCGTGTGTTGTCAAACTGATGAAGATGTTTTCTTAATTTGCTGGTGTTTTTTCAATTTGCATGTGTTTTCTTAAGTTGCAGCGCGTTGAGCTCTCTCGGCCACCGTATGTAGCTGCTAATAGCACTGATGTCCAGCAGGTGTCTCTCTTACCGTTTGAAGCAGTGCGCTGCAGTGAGCAGCCAGCAGGAGTTTATGAGAGTGGCTCCACACAGAGGCTGATTCCCTTTAGATTGTGATCTGAGCCACAGGGACGCCTGCCAAGGCCAGTCGCCCCTGTAGGGTATACATATGTGCACAAACACACACACACAAACATACACATAGAGACACAAACACAATGGACGAGGTGGAGAAATAGAAAATCAGATTTATCTGAAGTAAAAGAACAGTTTGAATAAACAGAGGGTAAAGTACAGTGTCAACATTGAATTTTAACAATCAAAGAACTTATGAACAATTCAAAAGTAAAGCATGTAAATTTTTAGATACTTAATTTTGGCGTAATATTTAGAAACAACTGGCAAAGTAGGCTATTTCTAGATCTAAACCAGGTCTGTGGCACGATTTAAACAAGTATTTAAACACTATTATAGAATTTATTGATATTTTGAATGAGCTTTTATTTTTATATTTTTATTTTATTTTTACACTTTTATTTTATTAGGTTTTCATAATTTTGTTGTTTTTATTAGTTTAAGTTTCTTTTAAATATTTCTATTTAGTGTTATTTTTGGTACTTCAACTTATTCCAGTTTGTTGCCAAATCAACATTTCTAATTTTGGTTTTTCATATATTTTAATATTTATATTTCATTATATTTCAACTTTATTTCAATTACCAAAATCTATTTTTTTTTATAGTTTTAGATTTGGTTAATAATAATAATAATAACACTGCTATAGCATGAGTTTGATCTGTTTAATTGACTAATGTGCACTGTGATTTTTTTTGTTTTGTAAATTAAAGATTTTTGAAGTATGTTTTACAAGACAATACTATTTCAGTCTTTTTACTTCAAAAAGCAAAAATGTTTAATGTGTTACTTTACTGTTTATTTGTAATTATTTGTGAAATTTACTAGCAATTTCTGAGTGAAAGTAATTTTTTTCAGTGTGGGGGTATCTGGAAAACTGTTTAAAACAATTTATATTCTAATTATAATTACAGTCATTTTAATAAATTCATTGAGTTGAACTAGTATACCTCTTAAATTAAGCATGATCTTTACATTATATGCAATAAAATAAATTGTATCTGAACAAATGTCCACAACATGTTCAAGAACTGATTCAACAGCAGTAAAATTTAGATGACTGCTAACCTGAGAGATTTATATCCTCCGACAATCCTCTTGCTGCGTCTCTCAGCGCCGGCTCTCAAACCGCAGGTGTGTGTGCCCACCACTGCTATGTCAGCCTCTGGCTCCGGCAAATAATCACACACTACACCTGCATCCTGTCCATGCTTACAAGCGTGGCTGTCTTGTCCTTTAGAAGGGCACTCTCCGAGGAACGACTCCTTCCCAGTGCACCTTACGTTGGTCAGATGGATGGTCCCCTTCCCTGCTCCAAAATAACCCATTGGTCGTGCTTTTGACACCCCACTGCCACAGAGCGCAAAAAAAAACATTCAAAGACTTTTCTTCTACTCAGCTATCTGCATTCATCGTGCTAGAGAAATAATACATCATATTCCACAGTAATGATGAGATGCTTTGAGCTATTTTGAGTTAAAATGGCACAAACGGATCCGTACGTGAACCCGAGCTGTCTACAGACGACGGCAGCATTGACATCATTCCAGCCATGATCACAGATGCTGCCCCACTCTCCGTTAAGAAACACCTCCACTCTGCCTTCTTTTCTATTGTCGCCACCTGCCAGTCGTACCAGAGGCCCTGAAACCACAGAAAAGCAAGCAAAACAGAGCTTAGATTCTGTCACTTAGAGTACTGTGCATGTTAAAAAAAAAGTTTTTCAGTAGTAATTTTCCATAAAAGCTTATTACTTTGGATGGGTTAAATGCAGAGCACTAATTCCTAGTATGGGTCACCATACTTGGCCACATGTCACGTCACGTCACATTATAATGCAGGCAGTTACACGGAATGAACTGGAAGACATGAATGATTTAATAAATTTGGTGCGATAGCAGAATACAATTTATTTTGTTTCAGACAAAAGAAGCACATCCACCTCAGTCTTGTATAATGTATTAGGAGTAAAAGAAACAGGCTCTGTTACTGGCAGTGTAGATTAAACCACAACATGACATGTAAGCACATGATTTTAACAGTCAGTGAAAAGGCTGAACCTCAAAATAACGTTTCTATTTTTAGAACGAATAGTAAGCGTTTCATAGCATCAAATGAACATGAAATCAAAATAGACCTTTTATTATTTATTTATATTCTTAATACACATTCATGATCTTATTGTACACAACTCATCAGTGCACATTACAGAAAAAAAGCTTTCATTTTCAGTTATCGTCTTGAATATCTGTTATTTTATAACCCCTCCCTCCCTTCATTCTCTAATATGCCAACATCTGCCAACATCAACAATAATATGCCATAATAGTCATCCCAACTGTTACAATTCAATCAACTCCTAATGGTGTAAAAGTCCTGCACTGCATTACTTTCATTAAATACTGTATCCTAATTCACTCAGATAATGTCGCATAATGAAAGCATATTGGGCTGTGCATGTCTTTTCATGTAATGTTAAAGTCAAATAAAAAAGACACACATAAGTAACATAGCCTAATGTGGTTGTCAACAGCAAAGTGTAAGGTTTCATTTCGACAACCACACTAACCACAGATCTGCCACTTGTTGAAAAACCTCAACCTGCTTTTGTGACAGATGGGTTTGTAAAGCTTCTACTTTCATCAGAAAGGAAATAAATTATTAAACAGCTAAGGATAAAATATATTATGTATTATTAGATGTAAATGTCATGGAACAAGGTTGTTTTTTTAAACGAAAACTAAAACTAAGACGAAAACGATTGTTGAAAAAACAAACTGAAATAAAATAAAAATGTCAAAATAAATGAAAAGTTAAAATGAAGCAAACAACAATTACTGAAAAAATTTGAAATAATTTAAAAAAAGATATTAAAAATAATAGTTTTTGTAATAATTAGCTTCGTTCTCACCCGGTGGCGGAAAAATATAGGCTATGAGCTGTGTGGCTGTTTAGGGTGCATCAAGCACGTAAGGTTATCTGATGGAGAAACGCAAAGCAGTTTAAAGCAGAGTCCTGCATGGGTCTTGTTTTGTAAACCCGCACCTGCAGTACTTAACAGAACACCTGACCCGTTATCCGACAGCAGCACTCCTTTAATTCTGTACCTGACCGGATCCGTTTGACATAAAAAAACGAGACTCGAACCACACCCGCATTAAATCTACTACATCAGGTAGGCAGAATTATTTATTTTCATGTAACACAAACAATCAAACCAACATTTGGCATCAGGCATTAGGGAAATTTACCAGTCCGATCTCACTGCAATTCGTACATATTTTACGAGGTGGCTAATTCGTATGACCTCACTCGTACAAATTCATACGATTTTTGCTAAATCGTACGTATTTTACAAGTTCAATTCGTATGAATTTGTACGAATGACCTACACCTAACCCCGCCCCTAAACCTACCCGTCACTGGGGTCTAGACAAATCGTACAAAATCATACGAGTAAGGTCATACGAATTAGCGACCTCGTAAAATACATACAAATTGGTCGTGAGATAGCATTGAAATTTGCCCATTTGCCATGTGCAACACCACATTTTGCAAGAAGTTTTATTAAAATAAACAGGGTGAAAAGATGTTGAGGCTCATGATTATCATGATTATGGTTAAATAAGATTAAACAAGAATGTTTTAATTTTGTGTCGCTAGACGTTTGCGTCACTAAAGATAAATTAAATCTTTCTTTGGTCTGCGATTTGCAAGTGGTCTGTTAATTCTGCTAAACGTATTTATTAAAACTAAAGCTGAAACTAAACAATTTAGTTTTTATATATAAAAACTAAATAGAAATGTGTTCAGAAAATGAAAACTAAACTAGAACTTACAAAAATATTAATAATAAAAACGAAACTCAATTTTATAGAAAGCGATATTAAAATAAAACGAATTTGAAAATGCAAAACTAATAACCTTGTCATGGAATGCAATAAAGAACCAAAATGTGAAATTGCAGACTATATAATAATAATAACAATAATAATAATAAATATAGCTGCAAGCAGCAATTACGGGGCCAAGCACTACAGAAGCAAGCATCAGACCAACTGCAGTAATGAGTAATTAAAACCATTTTAAGATGATTTTAGTCAAAATGGCTGAAAAATCATAAATACAACCACTAGTAATAAGATTTATTGGTTAATGATTGGTTTAACACTTTTGACCAATAGGTGGCGCTGTTACCAAATTGATGTGGCATGGTCAGTGTGAGGTTACAATGGCACATACAAAGTTTGGTGTAAATATGTCAAAGCTTTGCAGAGATACAGTCTCAGACGCAGTTTGGCATCATTCCAGCAAATTCGTTGATGCGTTAAACAATGACCGTTTTGTATATCGACACGAAATCCATAACTTTTTGCGTGCATGGTCTGAAGATGATCGGAGTTAAATTTGGTGAAAATTGGACCAACGGTCTAGGAGGAGTTTGAAAAAGTAGGTTTTCAACATGAATCAAAATGGCGGACAGGGAGTCCGGCCAATTTTGGCATAATTGGTATCGATGTTCTCGGCATGACCCAAAGAATATATTGAGACCAGTTTTATTACAATAGCCCAATTTATTCAAATGTTATTAGCATTTTTGTAAATTTCCCCCAAACTTTTTGAGCACCATCAGGGCAACCGAGTTTCGTAAGGATACGTCAATGCGTTAGTAAAATATAGCATTTTATGACAAAATTCAAAATGGCCGACGCCCAAAATGGCTGACATGGGAAAATTGTATGGTTTGGTTCGACTCGGCATGATCCACCGAATCTAAAGAGACCAGTTTTGTGATTTTTGGCCAAACCATTGAGAAGTTATAAGCAAAAATAGCCATTTTTCATATCTCCTCACCACTAGGTGGCGCTGCACCGAAACACTTTTGTGCAGGTAGCCTCGGGTCATGCTTGTTATAACCCCCACCAAGTTCGGTCTCAATACGCCAAACCGTTGCAGAGATATAGCCTCATGTCCATTTTTGCGTGCTCTTCGTCGAATTCGTTCATGCGTTATTCGAGAACGGTTTGACGAATCAACTTGAATTCCATAACTTTTTGCCAGCATTGTCTGAAGATGATGTGAGCCAATTTTGGTGAAATATGACTCAGCATGAGCAAAGGATTCAGAGGAAAAAATAATTTTCCTTCTTTGACCTTATGGTTCAAAAGTTATTAGCATTAACATGAATTTTGCATAATTGCATGCAAGTAACCCTAATCCTAACCCTAACCATATAGTAAGTACATGTAGTTAATTAATATTACTCAGTACTTAAATGTATAATTACACTGTAACAATGACACCTTAAAATAAAGTGTAACCCATATTTCATTTTGTTATATGCAATTTCATTTCATATTTGTTATATGCATTTTTTCTACTTTTTTGTTGACAGACTGCTTTCTATACTATACAAAATTGAGAGACAAATCAGAAGAAAAACTAGACTGTAGCCACAAAATTAATTCCCTCGACTTAATTGGTGGCCACCTTTTGTTTTATTGTTTGCTGAGGTAGTTATATTGTAACCATGTTGTGCTAATTTGTTCCCTCAGTTTATACTTTTAACAGCACGATCTCACAGCAATTCGTACATATTTTACAAGGTGGCTAATTAGTACAAATTCGTACGACCTCAATCGTACAAATTCATTTTTGCTAAATTGTACGTATTTTACGAGTTCCACAATTCGTATTGATTTGTACGAATGACCTACACCTAACCCCGCCCCTAAACCTACCCGTCACTGGGGTCTAGACAAATCGTACAAAATCATACGAGTAAGGTCATACGAATTAGCGACCTCGTAAAATACATACAAATTGGTCGTGAGATAGCATTGAAATTTGCCCATTTGCCATGTGCAACACCACATTTTGCAAGAAGTTTTATTAAAATAAACAGGGTGAAAAGATGTTGAGGCTCATGATTATCATGATTATGGTTAAATAAGATTAAACAAGAATGTTTTAATTTTGTGTCGCTAGACGTTTGCGTCACTTTAAATCTTTTAAATCTTTCTTTGGTCTGCGATTTGCAAGTGGTCTGTTAATTCTGCTAAACGTATTTATAGCTGAAACTGCTGAAACTAAACAATTTAGTTTTTATATATAAAAACTAAATAGAAATGTGTTCAGAAAATGAAAACTAAACTAGAACTTACAAAAATATTAATAATAAAAACGAAACTCAATTTTATAGAAAGCGATATTAAAATAAAACGAATTTGAAAATGCAAAACTAATAACCTTGTCATGGAATGCAATAAAGAACCAAAATGTGAAATTGCAGACTATATAATAATAATAACAATAATAATAATAAATATAGCTGCAAGCAGCAATTACGGGGCCAAGCACTACAAAAGCAAGCGTCAAACCAACTGCAGCAATGAGTAATTAAAACCATTTTAAGATGATTTTAGTCAAAATGGCTGAAAAATCATAAATACAACCACTAGTAATAAGATTTATTGGTTAATGATTGGTTTAACACTTTTGACCAATAGGTGGCGCTGTTACCAAATTGATGTGGCATGGTCAGTGTGAGGTTACAATGGCACATACAAAGTTTGGTGTAAATATGTCAAAGCTTTGCAGAGATACAGTCTCAGACGCAGTTTGGCATCATTCCAGCAAATTCG